GGGACCCTCTTTGGTTGTTTGCATTAATAGGACTTTCAGTGAGTTGGGTATGATGTAATCTTTTTGTTGTTTTAATTCTAGCTATGGCATTTTTCTTCTTAAGAAGTAATAAAGTAGTTCTGAGGGGAATGTACTTTTTAGTAAACCCTGTTGGTTGTAGGTTCAAAGGTGACATACAAACACATGATGTTACCGTTCTCTTCGGATATAGGTAGAGCAGGATCATCGCTTACTTTGCTCCCCAGTCCCTGGAGTGAAAGAGGGAGCATCATCTAATTTAGCCAGAGAGAAGTACAGAGTCTAACGTCTCAGATGAGTATTTGGGGAGACCACAAAGAGAAGAAGAATGCAGCCACTGAATTGCAGTAGAAGAAAAAAGGTCTGTTACACAACAAAGCTTGGTTTCTCAGCACCTTCATTTTCCAAAACTGTTGGCATTTCTTTTTCTTTTCAATGCCATGTGGAGTCAGTAGGAGCTGTGGAGACTTAGCACCTCTGAAAGCCAGGTCCAGTTTTATTCCTATCATTGACATTTCTATCCCTCCATTAGTGCAAGTCCAGTATTTTACATTCCTAGTGTTCCTTAACGTCTGAGTGGATTGTGTAGAAAACAACTTGGTGCTAGAATCAAATTGCACTTTTGTTTACTTGTCAGTTACACAATCGAAGTTTATAAATAATTTTTGGCTGTCATTTGGTTTTGCTTCTGACACATAAAACTTAGAGCTCCTTTTAATCTGAGGTAGGATTCCTGCTCCCTTGTAGTTCACTGGCATTTTCAAATATGTTTATCTTCCTATTCTGCTCGCCCAGTGATTCTGATGATTAGGTTGGTATCAGCTGCACCTTTGTGCTCTGCATTCTTGCAGTTGGCTTCTTACAGACCTTACCAGTCTGTGAGGTCTTAGAGGTTTGCAGCTGCAGAACTTTATAAACCTTTTGTTTGATTTCCTCAGCCTAAAGCTAGCTGTTTGGTGATGTTATTTTATTTATTTTTTTTCATGGCTCTTTATCCTAGTAGCAGGTTAAACTCTGCTGCAACTTGTTAATGTACTGTCAAAATATCCTGCTTTCACAGCCTGTAGCGTATGGTTAAAAAATACATGCTCACTGAAAATTGTCTGACTGAGCACCTTGATTCTTCATCAGAACCTGAAATTTTCAAAGAAATTTATAATGATGTGACTTCGTAAAATATCTCTGTAACGTTGGTCCACTCATCTGTGTCTTTGCGCTTAGTGTAGAAATCTCTGGGATTACTTTATGTGTATGTGTTGTAATACATGGTTTATATTTTAATGGCTTCCACTAGTGCTGTATATGTACCATTTAGAAAACCCCAGACTTGTGTGTGCTGTGCATCAGCTGCTGTAGTCACTAAAATTCACTGCAGGACTTAAAATACAGTGAATATGCTAAAAGATCATAGAAATACTTGCAAGAGGTGAGAGAAAATGCGTGCTTCTTGTAATGCCTTTGGGAATTTAGAGTATGACGCTCACATTAGGAAATA